ACAGCCATAGAGTAAATCGGATTACACAACATGTAAGGTCGTCCTTTCCGAATATATCTTAAAAGTGTAGAATCCCTACAAGTATCTCACTGCAATTAAATCCTCTTCAGTCAACAGTACAGTCTCATCCTCATACTCCGTATCATGGTGTAGCAAATTTACACCGTAAAGGTGACAGCCTCTAGTTTAAACTGCCATCTAACCAACCTTAGTAGCACAACAAAATATCCAAGAAGATCGATCCTGGAAACATATACTAAAGTAGGGAGTTTCCATTTCGTTATCAAAGAACACGAATAAATTGGTACGGTAAGAATTGACCGACCAATCAGAAACAAGATGATTACTTCTCATTCATGGATGGTTGACTATTTTAAGACACTTAATTCTTTAATTGACATATAACATACGACTGTCTTCGTAATCGAAATGCATCTGATTTGGCTTCCAATTTATAAAAGTACTGGAATAGAGAGTGAATTTGAATACTGAGTACTAGAGTAATACCGCTGAAAATCTCTTCCAATTAGAAGTATGTAGAATTGTGCAATTTTTCTTATTTTCTGGCTACCATCTATCATATCAAACAGATCGCATATTTTGATCTGAATGTTTATGATCTCTAAGGAAACTATATCAAAATTCTAATTTTAAGCTACATAGTTTGTAAATGATGAGTCCGATTCTATACATTACCAGTTGATCCAAATAACTAGCCAGAATTAAAGTGGCTTAAACTGATTCAGGTCGCTGAGCTGGACCAGTCTGGATACAGCAAACAGTCGCCCAGTACTCAGATCACTTCGATACAACTAGTGAGCAGTAGTATTTGATGCGGGTGGTTTCCAGCTACTCATATTTATCAGTAGTATGTACCACAACGTTGTGTTTAAAAATTAATATTTTTCCTGCCAAAAATTCTATAAGTGCTCTCTATTAAAGACATTCCCATTTTTCAGACTAAAGCAACAGATCTACCTCTAGCAATTTGAAATGATTAATTATATTTTATGAATTTCTACGAAAGAATAACAATAAGATAAATAAGATAAACATCATGATAAATTACATCTTAAAAATTTATCCATTTACCACATTCTAAGGACATTTTGGAAGAAGTCCATTCATCGTTGTGAAACAGTGCATGCGTCTATTATACGTTTCGTACTTATTATAACCCCATTAACTAAAACCCATATCTAAATTGATTAGTAATTTGTATTTCTTTTCTTAGTTTCCGATGAAGTGAAAGTTGCAAAATAAACAAAAACAAGCAGTTCACTTCAATTTTAGATTCTCCCGTCAATTGATTGGACCGAAGTGCTCGGTCTCAGGTTGACATGTCGACGATGTCTGGTCACATAACTTGAAGTCAATTGGTGGATGGTAACTAGCAATGGAATGCAGGAAGCCCTTGACGTTTGAAATTATGGGCGCTGGATTCGAACCTCGGTGGGAACACCATCATCCACTGGGGAATGCAGGTCTATCCAGTGACGAGTTCCAAATAGGACGAGGTTCGCATCTTGGATTCCACTGCTAGTCCCCATCCACCAATTGACTAAAGTGAAGTTGTTTAAAAACGTAAGGATTATGATTTAAAACTTAGTGTTTTTATAGTTGGTAAACTTCTCAGGATAACCAACTTGCATAGGTCTATCTATTTCAGCACATAGTAAGCTCAAATGAACAAGAAAGTTAATGGGAAGAGTTGAGTAAAGACAAATTATCCAGAAGACCCTAAGCTATTTTATTAGGCCTGTTAAAAAGTTGATTTGTAAACCCCAAGAACTACTACAACAATTGCAGAAGAATACTGACGTTTAGAAACATAACTAAGTAGAAACTGATAAGGTGGACTTAAGGTGAGCAGCCGAATCTGAAAATGTAAACTTATACCCACCTATGTTCAATATGTAATCTACACACCAACTAACTACCTTGCACGTCGTCAAAAACAAAGTAATAGTAAGGAACAGGGTTTTTAGGAACTTGATTTAAAACATTAAACGGGTACGCATAGGATTGTGGTTAAGAAATCTAATTTCAATAACAAATAGACAGGAGGCACTTCAGAAAATTCACACTTACGACTGCTGACGCTAGACAACTTTTAGTGAGAAAAGACTCGTGCTTGCAAATTATTAATCTCAGAGTGTGTTTAGTTGGTCGTTGCATAAAAAAATGTGGTTAATGTACTGAATTAAAACAGCTGTGTTTGAAGAAGAAACACCAGAAGGATTTACAACGCATATGTGAAATTATGAAGTATAACACGAATTTGTTAAGTGGTGTCGCATATTCTTGCTATTTACATATGTATAAACACTTCTTAAGTCAGAATACGGCTTCATCACGTTTAAAGCTGTCATGAAGAATTTTCAATGGTAGACCCAAATGATGGTACACAGTCTAGCGCTTCTTCAAGTATAATAAGAAACAAAAACTGTATAACTTCACAAGATAGTATTTCAGTCTGTGTGTACTGATGTGAAATGACAACCATTAACTGTCTATAACACAACATGGAACTAACTTCCAGTGTAATAGTATACTCAGTTGCAAATTACACAGTGAATATGCAAGTGAATGAACTAACATAAACCTTGCAACAAAAGCAGTATTTCAAGTTGTTACACTTGCAACACCATAGGAAGAATTAGTAGGAATGAAATATATTCTAATGGAAATGACGAATATGAAAAAGTAAGTCGACATATATTCAAAATTTTAACTTAAACAGGGAATGAATCTTCATTCCTGAACGGCATCGTTGATTTTCACCGACCACAAGTTAATGAAACATTAGAAATGAGTGGCCATGGTACAATATTACACAAAATAAAATGAAACTTGGAAAATAAACATACATTTCATTCACTTAGCAATCTTTATATCTACTCATGTATGCTAAAATGAATCTAAATTTTGTAATTCATTTTTGTATTGGCAAGTCAGTCAGAAATACTCGTTGCATGACAACGAGTATCTTTGCTATTGGCGAAAGTCTACCAATAATGTGGAGAGTTAGATTATTAAGTAACAGACCAATGCAGTAATCTACAAATAGTTTTATTAGATGTTACCAGTCGAACACCGGAAAACCTTACAAACAAACTTAACGCCTTCTAACACGCATTAGCGAAAGTGATAAAAATCCTAAGTAAACTTAAGCATTTCTGAGGTCATTCACTTAGCCTGGGATATCTTAGTGATAAATGTAAATAAAGATGACACACTGGTATATGTCTGTTATCTGATAAACCTCTGAAATATCATAAATTATAGGAGATTGAAACTACTGCTCATTTGTTTTTCCCTTAAAAGTATATCCAATAAAGTACTTACATTTCTTATAAATCCATGACCGAAATTGGAATACACTGATAATAAGAAATTTCTGGGACGTGTTTAAAATGCGGCTGTTGTTATTTTGCTGTTGTGTTTTCTGGGTGTTCTCTTGTCTTTTTGGACAAGAGCTTCAGAACTAACTTGAGTATGAAGTCCGTTTGGTGCTTTACCTTAAACCAGTGAAAATTACTAGCCAGTAGGTATGTGTAATCCAGTGTTCTTTAAGTGATATTTTTTAACACAAACCTTAAAACACCTAACCGCATACTCAGAATGTACTGATGATAAGTATTCTCAAACAAGTACTAGCAAGAGGTTAACACCAACAGCTAAGTAGTCATGAAATGCATTTTGGTAGGGTGAATAGTTGGTGAAAATTTCATTTCAGACAGAACCTCCCTAACACAACGGGACTATGATAGCATTGTGAAGGTTTACATTAACCTAGAAATCAGAATAAGTAAAAGACGCAATAAGATAGCGATCTTCGAAAGAATCACAGACTGTATGCATGAACCTAACTCACGCTACTAAATGCCATTTAATTTCACTGCTATATTTAATTTGAGTACGTAGATCAATTTTTGGTTAGTTATTTGTTCGCTTTTCTGTAATTCGAAGTAGATGTTATAAAATCCACACGACTGAAAATGAAGCGAAACCTAGCATAGTAGTTCCAGTTGCTAAGATTAGAATTTCCACTGAAATTGCTAAACAATATCAAATCATACGGAAATATGCAACAACCATGTGAGGAAATTCAGGGCTAACAAACTGAGGCCAATAAGTTTACACTGTGAATTCAACATACCTTTTTACACAGTATTTTTAGCAACCTTAAAGACCAAATAACTAAAATAAATACACAAGTGGCTGCATAGAGTAGTAACGTCTACCTAATGCAATAATAATCAACACGTTTTCATACAATTAATATGAACTAACTTCTAGGAAATATTTTAAAAGATGTACATGATCCAGTTAGCTAAACAAAAGCGAAAAGCTGCGAAAGGAATGAGAATTCAAACTTTTCAATGAAAAAACACATCGTAATTCACAATTATTCTAACCACCAAATGGATCTATATTGATACATCTGAATCTACCGGTGATATTAGTGAAAAATGTGGAATTCCAATGGAAATAGTTTCTGGAAAACATGGATTGAGACGAAAACCATCTAAAGTATGATCACTTTCTGCACTTAAGTGCACCGAAGTACTTTTGCAAACTACGAAACTCAAGAAGACTGAAGCAGTCTCAATATAACCCGAAGAAACCGATTCAAAATTTGCATATACTTGCATTTATAAAACTGACTGAACAGTCAACCATGCATTTAAAGGTTTTTCACCAATTATAATTCTCAAGACAGTTGGTTAAACATGAATCAGATTTCTTGTAAATGTGAAAGCAATGAGGATATTAATAAGTAAGACATCTTCCTTAATACCGAATATATATACATCGTTTAAGTGGAGAACAGCCCACTGAAAAATATTCCGTAAAATAATCACAAATATAACTACAACTGTACAGCTTATCAAGTTAACAATTTGTTCAAATTAAACTACTCGTCCTAGTGACAAACCAAGATGCTAGTTATAAACATATCAAAACAACTAAATAAACCAACCAGTTGGACTTACTTCAAGATTCGACAAGCCATCTTTTGGAGCTAATGGAAGAAATGTCAATACAAAATAAACAACTTACTTAATTTCCCAAAGGAAGCTGACAATCTTTTCCTTATTCTTTTAAGAATGCGAAGCTTTGAAGTGGATTTTTCTACAAAAAAGGTTGCTTATATTTATGTGATCCAAAACTCATTGGCATCAAAAATGTGTAAATTTAACCTTGTATTACCTTTAAGTGTAAAACTCTTATAAAGAATGGGATTCAGAGTATTATGGTCAACTCCTAATCCTGTTTCAGCCATAATTCCTCAGAACAAAGCCATGAAAATTTCAGGCTCCTCAATAGGAGCGCTTAAATTAAGAGCACATGTAAGGTCTACTTATTTGGTCATTTAAACAAGCAAAACACATTCATTGCACCAAAACCTAAAATTAGCGTCTAGTAGCAACAACTGGATTTGACTACGTATTTCATACTTGAAATAAAGTTTGAATTCCTATTTTTAAGGAGAGATTTTCTTTATTTGTACATCTAAATAATCCTTCGGATTTTTGGTGGCTCGATAAGCTTCTTCGTCCATTGAATTGTTCCTGTCCACTCTTCCACAGATATCAAAAACTGCGCTGGTAGTACTTCAGTCGTTCTCATTTTAAGTATCCAGTGAATTAGGGGAATGAATGTTGAAATTATCCCATTTGCTTTCAGGAAAAGGATGATGTTCGAGACGACGCTAGATATGAATACGTATTAAGGTGAATATGTATCCCCCAACGCCTGGTGTATTCGTGTAAGAGTTATGTTTGTATAAATCTCAGAGGAATCCAGGTAAACAGCCTCAGAGATTAACAGAGATGTAATTTTAAAAGGTTCTTGCCTTCAACTCAGCCATTTTGATATGAATTATTCCGCAATGTGTTGTTTCTGTGTGACCGGGCATCTCTTAGGAAGGCAGACGACATCGAGAATTTGCCGTCCAAATTACGAAATATATATAGGGATCAGAGACATGGTGCAGTGTGATGACCTTAGGAGTGCGTGCAGGAACAAACGAACACAATGCGACAGCTTGCCAGATAGCGAGCATGCTCGGCTCTGTACCTCCAGTTTAAACAATCCATTTAGGTGGTGGAGATATGAGACCTGTAGACTTATGATCTCATGCCAATATTTGTCGCCAATATCCAATTGCTGAAGATTGCTGGTCTGTAAAAATCTGTAGGGCATTAAACGTGCAAAGAGATATTTAAGCGATTTTGTCAAAGATCATCGGGAATCAAGAAGTCCTTGTTATCATCCAAACTTTCATCACAGTGCACGTGGATGATACGGTTTACGTGCCCATTTGAAAACCAAACTAAATAAACCGAAAATACTATCTGTTGCTTATATCATATTACCTGATACTAGGTTACAAAATGCTGCAAGGAACCTCAGAGCTGCAGAAAAATCATCAAGGCCTTAAGAAACTGCCCCTTTGATACGCCACGGCGTTAAACATACTGGTAGTTTCTTGCTATGCTTTTCAGGTGACTTAACCGAGATTCGATATCATGTAGACGCTAGCACGGAAATGAACACCCTTTCTGTCACATAGAGAGGTCACCAGAAATATTCTATCTGCGACGTACGATGCGTAGATGACCGGCTGATCACAAACTTCGATAGATTCTGTGGCCGATGTCACAGTACCTGTGATGTGCATTGAATTATTTAATCCCTACTATATGCTAACGATCGCACGGACGGGGACAAGTATTATTTAAATTACACAAATTTAATTAATTTTGAGTTTACATAGTTGCTGTTATTCACTTCAGTCTGTGGGAATAATCTGCTAGCTAGTCACTCAACGGAGCACATTAAGAAATATAGAAATATTGCCTTCGCATTAGTGATAAAACTCAAGCACGTGTTGGATGGACGGAAAATAGAGTGAGAACATATATTTTTTGAAAAATACTTGAGAAAAAACAAAGTTTGAAGTCAATTCTCTCATATAACTTTGCTGTGTACGACATCGAATCTTATTCTTGATTTGTATCCAAATTGTGTATTAATTTGAAATAACTGATATATTCGTATAATTTTCTCAGCATTTTCATCGAAGGTACCATCAGAAGTGAATTATGCTACATGCAGATGAATGTCGGCCATAGCCAGGCAGATTTATTTTACTGCGCCCAGGTCAACCGCCATTTGTCGCTGCATGGTTGTTCTGCACGAGTGAGTTGACTAACATGTAGAAAACTATTTGTAAACCATTTTAGATCATGGATACTGCTTGCATAGGACGTTGTGGAGCGTCCTGATTGGTGACAGTGGAATTTTCAAGGATTTTGAGTTATTACTAGCCAGAACCTTGAGTGATGATATGGCATATATAAGTAAGTGGCTTCAAGTCCTGTTCAACTTCAGTCTCACTGTAGATCTGTGCAACTTCCACTACAAGGCAAATAGAAGAGGAGAGGTGAGCAGCAAATTATCAGGGGGAAAGAAAATGTATTTAGACACGATCAGGACTTTAGTGCTTGTATACATATGTTTATATTCGTTTTACATTGCATCTGTGCGACTAGTCTATTTATGGTTTATAGAGTAATTGGGGAAGTTTTGAGCTTTTCTAGGTACTGTAGTTAACAATAAATTGGTTCGTTCTAGAAATAAATAGTTTGTTAATGTAATCAGTAGAGTGAAATAGTCTGTGCAGAGAACGTTTGAAACTTGTAACCGAGGTGCAGGTTTTGAGTTCCAGGGGCAGACTGTTCTATATTTTAGAATACATGACTGTGAAGTTTTCTCAAAGCGTTGATTTAAAGGCTTTAATTGTTGCTGTGCAAGTCTGGTTGCACAGATCATAAGAGCCTTCTGGTGAGAATTGTATGCCCTCATTGTGTGACAATGATATTTTGTGTATGACCTTAAAGATTACTGGGTTTATAATAAGTCGTCTTGTCCAGGGTGGGTTAAGATTTAGAATCGTGCACTGTCAGGTATAATCTTTTTTGCAGTCGTAGCCAAGTGGTTTGAACTTGAAATATCGTTGGATACTTTCCATCCTCAGCTATTCACATTTAGGAGCGCTGCCGATAGTAAATGTACAGTATTCTAGTAGTGGCCTTGCACGTGTTTTTTTACAGAATTAGCTAGGCTTCATTGTCGTGAAAGTTCCTGAGTATGCATCCTAAGAGCATCCTCAACTTTCGAGTCTGTGATGCCACTTGCTCAGACAATGTTGGGTCACTACAGTTCCTTAGACCTTAGTCATTTAGAAGTGTGTTCTCAATTAAGCAGAATGTATATCATCTAAAAGTCATGAAATTTCGGTCACGGACAGACGATGTCCATGAACACCGTAATCATGACTGCTCGTTAGATCCTCCAGCAAAAACAATGTACGAAAATAAAAAACTCAGAATAGATGAAACGTGAATTCAGTCATATGCCACATCTCGACATTATATGGCATTCAGCAGCCCATTGTCATTCCTGATTCTGGGATGGATAGTAATGATATGTGACTGACTGGTGTTTGTCAATGCCTAAACTTCACAACCATGCCATATAACTACTTTCTGCCACGCGTGCATGATCAGCTGACAACTTTGACCTGAACAACGGATTTTTGAAGCAATTATTTGTCCAGAGTGAATAACAGAAGAGTACTGACATCATCAGACGCAATGGAAAGGGCCGTAATTACCTTTCTGGATTGTTTAAATCCTACGGAAGCCATTTGGACACCGGAATGAGGCACAAACATTCCAAAGCTTTGTCGATTGAGTACTCGAAAACCCTTGCTATCGTATGCGCATATTTGAGTGACTGTCTAATTTCACAACAGGGTAAGGAAAACCGCCTTCTGCATCTGATATTCAACAGATCGCAGCGAGGTGTTATCATCAGAACACCAAAATGCCAATCGGGAGTGAAATCACTTGATTTCCTTGAGCAACACAATAACCCCGCAGACATGCTCCCATGGCAAGTAAGGTGGATGATTTCCGGGAATAAAAGGAATTAAATGACCCCTCGCTTGTTGTAGCCTGGTTAGAATTTGGTCAAGGCTTATTGACAACTGGACCAACTTAGCCCCAATCCTGAGGGATCTCATGTTTCAGAATGCAAAGTTCGGAGTCTGGCCGAACTCAACAAGTGTTAAGGGAAACACGGATATCAGTTTGTTAAGCAACTGTCGCTCGATAGTGCGTTTGACCACCACACTTGACTTGGGCAACCCTGAATTCAGTGCAGCCCTGCAAATCTGATTAAAAGTTAGAGGTAGGCGTTTAAACTACTTGCGTGGAAGCTTCAGACCTTAGAAATCTGGTGCAGTGGCCTTGGTAAGCAGCTTCTATCTACGTCCTGTGCTGTCGGCCACTTTTCACATTCGATGGAGAGTCCTGAGTTTATGGTTTTTACATGGCACAAAGCACTCACATTTTCTCAACCTCAGAAACGTTTCCGTCAGGCAATGACTCTAGCTAGACCATATTTCACAGCGCCTCTCAGGTACCCTCCGTGTACCTATGGCTACTAATGCAGTAGCAGAAATAATTTCACGTTTCATCATTCGATCACACTGACGGAATTGAAATGGTGGAGCAGGATCCTTGTCGGCATTCAACCCTATCGTGGATTGACGTAAACAGCTTTAAATTTGCGACCTGAGCCGTCAGATACAGGTGAGAAAACCATTCATTGTCGCACTTCTTTAAAAACTACTTTCCAATCAGAATAATCGTTCAAATTACTGGCTGATGGTTCGTGGTATTGTGGATGACTGATTGTGACGTTAACCTTAACTTTTGAGAGTGGAAGGCAAATGGAGTGTGGAAAACCTGGTCGAACAAACGGAAGGACATTCACTATTCAGTAGATAAAGGCCGCACAAATCATAAATAATTGTAGTTTTTTGGGAACCACTTAGTTGGGCCGCTTGCACATATTCGAAATCTTCCGACTCTCGTCAACTGGAAATAACGTCCAAGACTTCTGAGTGTCTCTTGGTCCTGTTACAACTGATCTCTGACACACAACCTGCCGACTCTTTAGTCTGACCCACCTATCCTGGTGGCCAAGCTGCTCTTAACACCACCCAGACCACAGGACAGCAACATACATTTTTTGACAGCTTGAGAATCAAATATTAGTCTGGACCCTTAACAGAACTAAATTATAAATTTAAAAAATGCTTTTGCTCCTACCATCTACAAGCCTGTTCAGCTATTTGTCAAGATGCTACCCCATAGGCCCTAAACAAATTTGTGAGACATCTTACGGGTCAGCTTGTCCTACGGGTTCTAGTCTTCTGAATCTTTAAATTCGTCTCTCGCCGAAATATCACTTACCACCTTACGACAATCTTTTTTGCTTACACACTTTAT